ATATATATATACATATATATATATATATGTATATATATATATATTGCAAATGCTGATTCTTCACAGTAGGACAGTAGGATTTTTAAAGAATTGCTCCCACTTGGGGTACATGTTTAGCCATGGTCCACTTGTTTTTGTTAATTAAGCATTCTGGAAAATGGAAAGATATTTTAACCTCTAGCCCTGTCTCAAATACGTGGACTAAGTCCTGGGAATAACTCACACACCGAATAGCAACATTTGGTGTTGTGAATGAGAAAGCTTTGAAGAGACTGTGACCCCGGCTGTGGCTCTGGTTTTATTTGGTCGCCTTAGAAGCATCCACCTCCTTGCGGTGGTATAGCTAACATGTGTGTTTCCTTGGTGACATAGGCCCCTCCACCCCTGGATATTTGAAACTGACATTTAGCTATGAGAGGCATTTAATGCTAAAGGCAAAGCTGGACAAAGAGGCTGAGGAGTCCTACAGGAAGCCTGTTGATTTTGATGAGTTTGAGTACACCACAGACAGCTTGACCTCAACTTTTAAGGCCAGACAAAAGACCAAAGACACTGTCAAGGTTAGACCTGATTACGTTTGGGACCGTGGGTGCAGGGAGGTGGTGAAAGGGAGGCAGCCCAGATGAGCACAGTGGAGCCTACACTGGCTGGCTGTGCTTCACAAGGTTGACCAGGAAGAGGTCACCAGTCCCCAGCGTCCCCTTGCCTGTCATTAATGGCGCTTTCACATGCTTCAAAGAAGGCAAGCACACCAAAGAACAAGAAGTGGATGAAACACCTGCGGGTGCCACAGAGGGACCTGGAGAGACTCCTACTCGCCAGGATGGAGACTCGGAACCATTTCCTGAAAAACCCGCGGTTTTTCCCGCCTAACACACCACACGGAGGCAAGTCTCTAATCATCTCTTCAAGGATGCCGATAAAAAGAGAGACAGAAGAAGTCCTGAATGCAGAGACAGGATGGAGGTGCGTTCTTCCCTTAGGATCCCAGGCACTCTGACCCTTAGAGAGACTGGAAGGCTCTCCATCGGTCTAAGGAGGTCCCTAGATTTTGGCAAGCCACAGCAGTGTCTCAGAGGAAAGCAAGCCCTCAGGGTGACCTACAGGCAGCTTTTGACCCCCCAGAGACCTACCAAGAATCAGAAAGAGAGGAGCTGGTGTGGGCTTCTTATGGGCATCCATCTGAATGAGCTGGGGCTGGGCAGCCCATGGTCACGTGACCTCTCCACAGTGTATTGGTTACTTTTTTCATCACTGTGATGAAATACCTAACCATGTGGGAACAGTAAGATTGATTTTGTGTCTGGGTTCAGAGGGTTCAGTCCTTCACGGCCAGGAGGATGTGGTGGACCAGAAAAGTTCACTTTGTGCTCGCTAGACACGGGGAAAGGGGCTGCTCAGCCGGCTTCCTGCCTTTCCCCTTTTCATTCTGTTCCAGTGCCCATCCTGTGGGACAGGACGACACTGCCCTGATTCTCTGTGAGCCCTTTCCTCATCAGTTAATCCTCTCAGGGGGTTGTGAGCTGCCTGACAATGTGGGTAGAGGAAACCAAGCTCTCTACAAGAGCAGGGTGTTGTTCTCAGCCTCTGAGCCATCTCTCCAGCCCAAAAACGTTTTGTAGTCTGCTTAGCAAACAACGACCAGAAAACCCAAAGAACAGCCCATCACGAATGCCTTTGATGGCATAGAAGAGTTTATTTCTTTACTTTTGTTTTTTTTTGGTGGCCCTGGCTCTACCTCCAGGAGCTGGGATTATGGGAGTCTGCCACCAACCATATCCTCACTGTGAATGAATCAGTCTCGGCTTTGTACGGGGTCAGACAGATGAAACTCACAGTCTTCCTCCCCCCTTCACTCCCACAGCTGTGCGGATACCCCTGTGTTTCTGGCTAAGCCGTCAATTGGATTTTTCACCAATTATGAGATTGGACCAGTTTACGAGGTAGAAATCTTGCTTTACATCATGGAATTTCTGAACCACACCCAAAAAGCAGGGAAAAGACTAACTTCATACATCCATGTGCCTGGCCCCCGGCTTCAGCAGCTGGTGGGCGACATTCCCCTGTACAGCGTCTCCTCTGGAGCATGCTAAAGGAGGCATACACAGCATGTCGATAAGGGCCTCTAGCACACAGGACTTTTAAAAAAGGAACCGTAAACTGGGTGAGGCGGGACACTCCTGTCCTCCCTGTGCTTGGGGGTGAGGGGAGGAGGAGTCCCATGTCACTCTCAGCTACATGAGACCTTGTCTTAAAGAACAAAACAGGGGACCGGGTGGCACACGACTTTAATCCCAGCACTTGGGAAGCAGGGGCAGGCGGATCTCTGTGAGTTTGAGGCTAGCCTGGTCTATAAGGGGAGTTCCAGGACAGCTAGGACTGTTCCACAGAGAAACCCTGTCTCAAAAAACCAAAACAAAACAAAAAAAAAAACAAAACAAACAAACAAAAAAACAGGGCCTGAGAGACAGTCAACAGTTAAGAGCGCTTACTGCTCTTGCAGAGGGGCTACGATCGAATCCCAAACTCCACTTCAGGTGGCTCACAGCTGCCTGTCACTCTAGCTCTGGAGTGTCTGAGGTGTCTCTGGCTTCCACAGATGCCCACACTCACCTGTACATACCCCCACACAGACACATGCACACACACACAGAATTTAGAAAAATAAGTCCTAAAGACAACATATGCATTTGTATGTACCCATGAATGAAAACAGCATGTCTTCTAGCTGCGGGCATTTGTAAATAAGGAAAGAGGGAAGGCTGGAATGAATTTGATGATGCTGGATTGTAGCGGCGGTACAAACACCAGGAAAGGACTCAGTGGGCTAAAGTGCAGTGTAAGCACTAGGACCAGATCCTCAGCATCCAGGGTGAGCGGCCAGGCGTGGTGGTGCAGGTTGCCTCCTTGCTTTCATCTAGCCTTCTCCTGGCCTACATAGTTCGGGATCCCAGGCCTAGGGAATGGTGCCACCCAATAGTGTGATGGCATATTATTTATGGTTTATTAAAGCTTGCCTGAGGATTCAGAAAAGCAAAATCAGCCACAAGCCATAGAAGCCAGGCACATGCCTTGAATCCCAGGACTCAGGATTAAGAGGTAGATGGATCTCTGTGAGTCCAAGGCCACCCAGATCTACACAAGATTGATCCAGTCTTAAAGAGAAACAGCTCACACAAAGATGGTCTCAGCACCTGGGATCACACACCTTTCATCCCAGCATTAGGGAGGTATATAAGACAGGAGCAAAGTCTCAGTATCAGGCATTCATTCTCCAGCCACGCTGAGGAGAGGCAGCAGGATCAGCCCATTCAGCCTGAGGTAGTGGTAAGAGCTAGTGGCCCAGATACTTTGCTTTTCTGTTCTTCAGCTTGAAGCTTGAACCCCAGTGTCAGCCTCTGGGTCCTTTTATTTTTCGTGTTACACCAACCGGTGGGGCCTCCCTTCATCAACTAATAATAATGACAGCTCCCCAAAGGCAGCCCACAGGCCAACCGGATCTAAATAATCCCTCCATGAGACCCTTCCCAGGTAATTCTGGGTCATGTCAGGTTGTCATCTGAAATTGACCACCACAGTAAGTTATGTGTAAATATTGTGCCATTTTGTATAAAAGGACTCTAGCTACAGATCCGGGTCCTTGCTGAGCTCTTGAGCCAATCACGAGCCCTGTGAGCACTGATGGTCAGGACAGCTGTAGCTATCACTTTAAATATCAGGGAAAAAGTGCTACAGCGACTCCAATTTTTCTTTTACTTTTACTGGGGGAGGATGGCTTGAAAAAAACTTTCCTCAGACAGGGTCTTACTCTGTAACTCGTGCTGGTCTGCAACTCACTACACGGCTCAGGCTGGCCTAAAACTCACGGCAATCCTTTGGCCTTGGCTTCTCAAGTGCTGGGAATACAAGTGTGTGCCACCATGCCAGGCTTTGTATTTTAATTTTACTATGGAAGTGTGCCCAGATAAAAATAAATAGGCTGGGAAAAGGAATCCCCATGTACCTGCCACCCTATGTCAGTCATTACCAACATGACCGAGCTTATTTCTTTCGGAACCCTCTTCCTTCCCATACCATTGGGATTTGGGGTGGCGAGATGGCTCAGTGGATAAAGTTGATTGCCACCAAGCCCAATAGCCTGAGTTCTGTCACAGAAGCCATGTGGTAGAAGGGGAGAACTGACTCTTACACGTTTTCCTCTGACTTCCAAACAAGCATGTGTGTATGTGCGTGTACATACACACACACACACACACACACACACACACACACACACACACACACACACACGGGGGCGGGGGGCGTCAATCCTGACCTCACACGGTGCCACTGAATGGCTGGAAGGATTCCCCCTTCTTTGCACAGATGGTAATTGCTCTGCAGAACACCACTGCGACCAGCCGATACCTGCGAGTCCTCCCACCATCCACTCCATACTTTGCTCTGGGGCTTGGTAAGTTCATGGTAGCGGCATTCTAGACTACCTCAAAATGACTTGTGGCCCAGCCGTTGTCTCTGATGAACTGGCTCTCAAGCCCTGTCCTGAGCTCTGCCCACTCCTCCTTCAGCAGTCCCTGGGGGCCCCTCAGGCTTGGCTCACAGCCCGCCACTCTCTTGCATCAGAGTCCCAGAGTCTGGCCAGTGTCCTCACTTGCCCCAGTGTACCGAGTCTACTAGCCAGCTCCCCACCCTTCACACCGTGACTGCCCTTCGTCCGGTACTCTTCTTCACTGCTCACATCACCATGGCAACCTTCCAACCAGCCTCCCAGCTTCAGTGCTTGCTGTGTCTCAAGGACCCTGGTCAGGCATGGTGGCTTCCGCTTGTAATCCCAGCTCTTGGAAGGCTGGGGCAAGAGGGTTGACACAAACCTGAGGCCAGCCTGAGTGAGGAGTGAGAAACTGTCTAACACAAAAGAAAAAAAACCATACAAAACCCTCTTGCCGCTCAAATGCACAACCCTGGAAGGACTGTCTACTGCCCATAGACAACCCCTATGCAATTGAGCCAGCTAACCTCTGCTCATAGCTAACTCTGCTCATAGCTAACCTCTGCTCATAGCTAACTCTGCTCATAGCTAACTCTGCTCATAGCTAACCTAACCTCTGCTCATAGCTAACTCTGCTCATCCATTTCACACCCCCTTGGGCCTGGATATTGTCACCCTAGTGCCTCCCGTGCATGCCCTAGGCAGCTCTGCCACCAGCCCAGCCCACTGTAGTCGGCATCTGTCTCATGACTTTTCCTGGGAAGACTTGAGCTGACATCTCTTCTCCCCAGAAGGGCCTCAATGACAGATTCAAGTGACCATCCCCACTAAGCCAAACTTGGCGAACCAATGAGTTTATTGGGGTTACTTACAGGATCACACATGAAGAGTTGTGAGTGACTAAAGGCAGCCGTGCCACCAAGAGTGTCACCAACAGTGTCATCCCAGTGTGAGTGATCACTCGGGAAAGCTGGGTTCCTGGAGCTCACTGCCCAGCTCATAGGCAGCTCCATGGAAGAGTCTTCTCTCTCTGCAATTGCTCCCTGTTTTTCTAACCTTGAGGAGAGGCCTCATAAATAATCTTGTAGCTTATGTTAGGTTCCCAAGTCATAGGGAGCTCTTCCTGCCCTCCAGAGCGAATATTCAATTTGACAGAAATAGACTGTCCCTTCTGAGATGGAGCCGCCCAGGCCCTGGTGGGCAGCTGGTCCTCCGTCCTCATGGGTCCCTTTGGTTGTCCACAGGAATGTTCCCGGGGAAAGGTGGAATGGTAGCTCCCGGGATGACCTGCCAGTACGTTGTCCAGTTCATTCCCGACTGTCTCGGGGACTTTGATGATTTCATTTTGGTGGAGACCCAGTCTGCCCACACACTGGTGATCCCCCTGCAGGCCCGGAGGCCACCCCCAGTGCTGACCTGTGAGTGGATGCCTTGCGCCTTGGGTGGGGTTCAGTTAGGACTCGGGAGCCCCTGTAAGGGCAGGCTGCCTAGAAGGACTTCCTGGGAGGGAGGCAGATCTTGGATCTCTTGGGTAGAGGGTTAGGGTCCTAAAAGGAGCCTCCTAGCAGCTTCTACAGCAGCAGCAGGACTTCACCCTCCTGTCTGCAGGAGATGCTTCTGTGATGCAGTAAGGGGAGGTGACAGTTTCTAGGCACCCAGAGGAAATCTCTGTAGGTGTCGGCTCTGGGTAGGAGGGACTGGAATTCAGCCCCTCCCATGATTTGTTCTGCAACACCCAAAACTGAGTTGGGTCTTCCTGGTCTACCTACAGTGAGTGTTGACACCCACTAGACTATGCCCATGTGACTGGGCAGCACCCTGGACAGAGCCCAAGGGTCTCAGTGTGCTCTGAGCTCTGTCTGGACCTCAGAAGAACAATAAACAGTAGCTGGGTCCATTCAGAGCAATGTGTTGGCCTTTTTTTTTTTTTTTTTTGGTTTTTCAAGACAGGGTTTCCCTGTGGCTTTGGAGGCTGTCCTGGAACTAGCTCTTGTAGACCCGGCTGTTCTGGAACTCACAGAGATTCGCCTGCTTCTGCCTCCCGAGTGCTGGGATTAAAGGCATGCGCCACCAACGCCCGGCATGTTGTCCTTTTTTAATTAAAAATTTTATTACATTTATTTATTATACTTGTATGCATGGGAGTGGGGGAGGGGCATGCCACTGTGGTGCTCATGTGTTGGTCAGAGTTGGTTCCCTCCTCCCGCTCCCTCTGCAGGGGGGTGGGGGGGTGGGGGGGGTGTTGAACTCAGGCCTCTCAGGCTTGGGAGCAAGCCCTTTTACCTCACTAGCCCCGTGTTTCCCTCCCTGAGTGACCTCTTCCCATGGCTGCAGTGTCGCCTGTATTGGACTGTGGCCACTGCCTAATTGGAGGAGTGAAGCTAACCAGATTCGTCTGCAAAAACGTGGGCTACAGCGTTGGCAAATTCTGCATCATGCCCAAAAAGAGCTGGCCGCCGCCCAGTTTCCGGGTGAGTGACTGTGGATTGCTTCCTGGGAAAAGAACAAACCCTCCCAAGGAAATGGGCTCCCTGGAGGAAGCTGCTGCATCACGCCAGGAACCAAAAACTTATAAAAGTAGAGTGCTGTGATCTCCAGCTCTGACTGCCGTGGCCCGAGAACCAATAAGTCAACGTTAGGGATGTGTTGTGCAATCCGGGGTGAGGTGTATCTCTTGTTCTGGGATTCGGTCTCCAAGGTGACCACATGCACTCAGAGAACCCAGCTTTATTATCACAGATCTGAGCATTATGAGACAGAGAACAAGACCAGGCATCTTTTGCTGAATTCTGCTGGTATTAATTTGACACAGTACTGAAAAACATTTTGGGGGTGAGGAAATGGCTCGGATAGTGAATTGGAAGGGCCTGTCTGATCCTCAAAACTCACATTTAAAAAGCCACTGTGTGTAACGCTGAGGAGTGAGAGAGACAGTGAGCCTGGAGCCCGGCTCTCACTGGCCGGTCAGCCTAGCCTACTTGGTGAGTTCCAGGCCAGTGAGAGACCCTGTCTCAAAAAGCAAGGTAGACAGCATTGATGGAGGACAATATTTGAAGCAGTCCTCACATATACACACATGTACACATGTGCACTCCACCCCCCACGAATACAGGCTCACATATATACACACATTATGTTTTGAACCAACCATTGAAAGCAGGAGACCCCACATAAGTACCTCCGGGTTCTTGGCTGTGACCCCATGGCACCAGGGAGCAGAGTTCTGTCCTGTTGTCTCATCTCTCCACTGCTCAGGCAGCCCCAGCCTGACACCAGTGACACCCCGTGTACCCCGTAGTTTCTGCTATGGTGGGTAGATTTTCTCCATGCCATGTGTTCCAGCACTATGAGACAGACCCAGAAACCTCCATTCCCTTGTGCTGTTGGACAGAGCCTTGCAAGTACCAATGTGTGACTCTAGCCCAGAGGTTTCATGTGAAACCCACAGTCCTGTTAGCGTGTGTCCTCGTGACTCTGCAGCTGACTAGCGCTCGGGGTGGTCAGGGACAGAGGCAGAAGCAGTGGCCGCCACAGGCAGGACCAAGTGTCTGGGAAGCCCTTCTCGTGCATCTCGAAACCTGAGCACTTGGAGGTAGCATTGCTTCCCAGCAGTCACTCCTCACCTTCAGAGCCGCACCCGGTGCCTGGCAAAGGTGAAGTAAACATACCCTTGGGGTGCCCGGGTCATGATTTCTTCACTGACAGGGCACCTGGAGGATCCTTAAAACCCTCAGACAGCAGAATGAATATTTGGAGATGTTTGCAGTGTGAGAGCTGCATTTGGCCATTTCTGCCACACTTTTTAGAATTGTAATTTTTTTAAATTTTTTTATCTTTTAGATTGTTGGAAGCACCGGCTTTGTGGAGAAGCCTCCCTTTGGAATCATGCCTTCGGTGTTTGAGCTGGCCCCAGGGTTTGCCATTCTGCTGGAGGTGGGTAGACAGACCCCTTGCCTATCTCGGATGTTCCGTGAGTGACTGCGTCCACCTCCACAGCGTTCTGAGCCAGGTCCCGGCATTGGTGTGTGCTTGCATTCCGTGGGGGGTGATGCCTTTGGCTGTTACGACTTCCACAGGTTGTCCTCTGACCTCCATGTGTGTCCCCGCTGTGGCACACTCTCCTGCATACTCACTCACTCAGGAAATAGATCAATTTAAAAAGTCAACTCAGGACATTAGGGTTTGAATCCGCAATGTCTCCTATAAGCTCATATTTCAAAGTCCTGATTCTGTCCCTCAGCTGGTGGCACTATTTTCCAGAGGTGTAGAGCCTTTCATAGGTGAGGCCTCGCTTGGTGGAAGCAGGCCTTGGGGGAAGGCCTCTGAAGGTGACACCCACCCCTGGTCCTGGTCATGTTTCCTGGATGGTCTCTAGTATACATATGCTTTCTCTTCTCCAGGTCTTGTTCCTCCCAACCAGCCTAGGAAAGGCAGAGGAGACCTTCATCATAGCGTGTGACAACTGTCAGATAAAGGAGCTGGTTATCACAGGTGGGCGGGTGGCTCCCGGGACTGCTTACCGAAGTAGCATTGGCAATGGCATGCTGTGCCTGCCCCAGCCAGGAGCGCCTGGCCCTCCTGGCCCTACTTCCCTAGTGCTGAGTTTACAGGTGACATCTTTCATTCTGTCACTCGGATCTTTGAGAGAGCCATCTGTGGTTCATGTAAATCACCGGCCACACCACCAGGCTTTTGCAAGGTTGGAGAGGGCATGTCTCTGAACTGTCCCAGGTGCTCAAAATCTGTCTGTCCTTTCCTTCCTCCCTTCCGTGTGTCTGTCTGGTTCCACTGGGTAGTCATTAACTGAGTATCTTCTGTATGCAACCGAGGGTGTGAATGGATGCTCAAGGCCCACTTTCCCTTTCTGTATGCCCTGGGGACGTGAATGAGGCCAGAGGCCAGCTGCGTGGGGCAGTCTGTGGCCCCGTGGGTGCTGATTTCAGCCTGGTGATACTTGGTGAGCCTCACTACTCTCCTTCATCAGGAACTGGACAGTTGGTGGCTTTGGATCTGATCTATATTTCTGGTGGAAGAAATGAACCAGAAGCAGGAGAGCTGAGAGATTTAACAGCCCAGTACTTTATCCGATTTGATCCTGAAAACCCCCACTCCACCGCAAGGAAACAGCTCATTATCAGAAATGCTACGTGAGTGGCCCTGGTGTGTTGTTGACACACAGCCCTGGTCCTTCCTTCATTGTCCCTCAGGAGGCAAGAGGGCTTTCCTCCTGAGTCACAGGGAGTTGTGAGCCTGGAATAGGTCCAGACTGGATGGGAGGCTCTTGGTTCACGTTGCCCATCGTGCAACCATTAGACTATTTGTATTTATTTGGTGTGTGAGATGTGGGGTGTGTGTGTGGTGTGGAGTGCGTGTGGTATGTGTGTCTGTGGTGTGTGTGTGTGGGGGGGTGTGTATGTGTGCATGAGTTGTGTGTGTGCATGAGTTGTGTGAGACAGGCTCGAGGACAACTTTGGCTTCAGTTGTGCAGGCACCATCCCCTTGTTTTTCGGGAAAGATTCATTGTCCTGGAACTCACCAGCTGGCCCAGAGCACCTGCTTGTCTCCACTTACCAGGACTGGGATTCTAAGCAGGTGCACCACACCTGGCAAACGGCGGTATAAGAAAAAGGGGAAACCCCATGTGTCTTAGTTAGGGCTTCTCTTGCTGTGAAGAGACACCATGACCAAGGCAACTTCTACGAAGGAAAACATTTAATTGGGTGAGCCAAAGGGGGCTTTTGATTGCTGGACATGAATGTCTTGATAGCTGGACCTTGGGAGTCAGCCTCAGGAGGAGGAAGTGGCCAAGTAAGAGAATAGACCTTGGTGGCCCGCTTTAGGAATGTAACCTAACCGTGTTTAGCAAGGCAGAGGGAACGGAGGAGAGGGTAAGGCCTGCCCGAGCCACATGCTTGCGTAGGCTGGCGTCCCTTCAACCTCCTTCACCTCTGTGCGTGCATGATTGTGTCTTGTCAGTGCTGCAATGGGGGAAGAAAGTCTAATTGTGTCCCTCCCTTGGCCCCTTGCACAGTATTTTCTGGAACTGTGAAGCTAGACTATGGGAAAGATGCTTCCAGGTCAGGCTCAGCTCAAATCATCAGTCCTGTGTCCCAAGTGTGCAGTGTCTCCAGCAATAGGGGCCCACCTCAACCCTGAGAGGTGGCCAAGGGCTACATCAGTACTCTATATTGTTTGGAGAATCACTTGAACTACTCTGACAAAACATTTGAAAGGAGGTTTCTTGTGCCTGGTACTGGGTTGTTAGTCTATGGGTCTGGTGGAAGGCACCGTCTACCCAAGTAGCTTAACTTTCTTTAGATATAAATATGGTGTGTGTGTGTGTGTGTGTGTGTGTGTGTGTGTGTGT